GGGTCGATGTTTTGGTTGAAGATAAAGTAACAGCAGTAATTTCCCAGGGTCGTTTCGCAATAACAATTATAACGGCAATCTGAGATGAAAATTTGTTATCCAAAAACTTGTAAAGCAAGATCTTCCATCTAGTGGACCAGTGGTCACGTGTCTTCCGATGGACGTCTCCCTCAACAATGCATGCCTACTGGGGGAACTTCAGCTGAAAAATAAAAGATCTTAGATTTTTATTTATTTATTACAATAATTAATAAAACTTATACATAAAAAGTTTAATAAACATGTGAAAGCAACACAAGCAAAACCAGGTTTTCATATGCTGACAAATGACATTGCTGTAGCCGAAAACCATAAAAATACTTTTAAAAGAGTTTATTGTAGGTACATAAACTGCATCGTGCGCTAACTTTTTCCAAGGGTTTGCAACACGGTTTATAAATAAGTGCTGACGTTCTGAGGAACTTTTTATTATCTGTAGTTTTAGACAGGTCATTTTTGATTAATTATATGCTGAGTTTGATAAGAAAGCGTAGACGCGCTATCGTTTTTTAACTTGTTTTTAAACAAGCTTATAATTTTTTGAAGAGCGATCTTTGTTAAAAAACTGCAATAAAACCATTAGATTTATAACAAAACCTGATGGTTTTAAATAATTTATTTTTTAAATAGTTTATTAAAAAAATAAATTATTAAAAATATATATATATATAATTCTTTGGTAATATAAACATAGCAAGTTATTTGCTATGCTCGTCAGCAAGTAAATTCATTATATGCCTCATCAATAAAAACAAAATTTTTACTTTTTTGTAATTAAAATTTAGTTTTATTTTTTGTTTTCTGGCGCCCCTAATATCTTGCCGTTAGGGGCACGTATGTCCCTTTTGCCTCTTCCTCTCGGAGGCCTTGTGCATTATTTGTTCTTAATTAATTAGTTTTAAAATTCTACACTAGGGTTATGACTTTTTGGCTTTTAAAAAAAAAATTAATTTCCTGTGTCATAAATCGATGAACTTTTGTTAGAAAACATTGAAAACATGTTCAATTACTCTCTGTTGTTAAAAAAGGTCACCCCGCAATTCAAATTACGTTTCGTCATTTATTTAATCTTGTTACTACTACTACTAATACGTGTGGCTTTCTTGCAAATCATTTAAAGCTTGTATAGATTAGAAGTGTTTAGAACTTTAGAACATTTTGGAAAATAACAGAATATTTTAGCAGACTTTAAAATATTCTAGAACAATTTAAAACATTCTGGAACAACTTAGAACATTTTAGAACAATTTAAAATGTTTTGGAACATTCTAGAATAATTTAGAACATTCTGGAATATTCTAGAATATTTTAGACTATATATAGCTGCTCATCTAATTTTATAGTTATTACAGAAGCGACACATGTATCGTACAAGCCTAGCTATAGTAGCTTTCAGAAAAACAAGGATGTCTGCAGATAAATTTGAAGACTAACATAAAAGAAGAAGAATGGTCCCTTTGAAAGAATATTCTCTGAAAGAAAAGTGCAGAATGACTCTCCGAAAGCAAATTATCGGACGCTATTATTTCCTTCGACCAAAAATCAAAAGAAGAAAGGAGCGAATAGCGGAAATTTCCAAAGAAGTCACCAAATTGTAGAACAACAAACTAAATTTTCCTCATTTTTCTGATCAGTTATACGAGCAAAGCATGATAAAATATTGAAATGTTATAATAAATGTGTGAAGCGGGGAAGCTACGAACCTCTTGATGAAATATTGGGTATTACTAAAATAGATGGAACATGGTTATCTTCCGAAGACACGCGATTGTAATATCTCCAAGTGGAAAGCAAAGGAACAGTGGGATACTCTACAGGCCAAGCGGCCAGTAAAGAAATAATCCATCCCTCTTAAAGACAAAAACTTACTAATGAGTCATCCAACTCATCATCTTAGTATCCTGGTTTTAGTGATTCTAACATATAAAAGCAATTTGCTCGTGAAGGCATTGACATCTCAACTCCATGTCAATCAGCTCTTTACAAGTCAACAATCAAAGAGGCAATCAAACTGAAGGAGGAAATAATTGAAAAGTTGCATATGGAAAGTTGGTCCTTACACTTTGATGGCATGCACATCGGCAGAATAGATTATCAAGTTATCGTCCTTAAATATGAAAGTAGAGAAATCAAATTAAGATATCCTTGGCTTGGTAGATGGCAGGGCTTTAACTATTGCTCAAGGAATTTCTAAACCCCTCAATGAATTTCACCTATGGAATTTAATACAAATGGTTGTTACAGAAACCACCAGACAGTTCTGCAGAGAATCTGATGTCGATTTATATCGTATGGCTGGGCAGACCATTCGTTTACAGACCAACCGTACAACGAAAATGACTTTAATAACTTGGCTGAAATACTGAATCCATACAAAAAGGCTTTGAACTCTTTAAAAAATTACTGGAATCGAGAGCCTGGAAGCGAGAGCCATTCATACTACAGATACCCAGAAGTAATCAATGCGAAGAGCGCACAATCAAAGTAATGGAGGAAATTTATTCATCATGCAAAAATAAAAACAAATTGCACCTTCGATTCCTTCTGTGCAACAAGCAAGAGCAAGGTCAACGGTTTGAGTCATTGTTGGATTGAAAATTTATTGTATTACATGACTATGACATTCTAAATACATTTGAATACATAGTAGTACTTATGTCAAAATCGATTTTTCAATGGCGGGGTAAATTTTTTGAAAAGATATGCAAATAATAGTTCATTTCCTGCTTTTTAGGTAAAAGTTCGTCAAACTACGGTACAGGAGCGTGGGTTTGATAAAAAGTCATAACCCTATTGTATTCTAATGTCTACTAAACAAATTTAATCAAATTTAGACAAAGTTTTTTTGAGTTATTTTGTAATCTATTCATCTTCTTTGTGAAATCTGCACAAAATTTAATTCCAAATTATCGTCTGACGTATTGTTGCATAAAAACTTTTTTGACTGTTTTTTGAGATTTTAAAATAAAAGCAATATTACGGTTATACGAAATATTTTAGTTTAAATATTTGAGCAGCCGTGGAGTAGTAGTTGAAGCGTTTGCTTCAGAATCAAAAGAGAATCAGTACGGAAAGACGCGGGTAGATGTCCTTCAGAATATAGAGAATTTATATATATATATATATATATATATATATATATATATATATATATATATATGTATATATATATATATATATATATATATATATATATATATATATATATATATATATATATATATATATATATATATATATATATATATATATATATATATATATATATATATATATATATATATATATATATATAATCAAAAAGCTGTGCCTTGCTGACAAATTTTCAAGCTGATTATAACAGTCTACTAAAATCAGTAAAATAAAAACAAAAAAACAAAACGAAAAAAAAACTATTAAACTAAAAAGAGCAAAAAGTATTTTAAAAATTTGAATACAAATATGTTTTATCAACTGTGCAATGTTTAAAATCAAATTTGAACTTGAATCTAAACATTCCTCTACAAATCATTTGATAAATATCTTAGAGTAAGAAAAGATTTAATAGAATCTGATACGTCTACACCGAGAGATATTCAATGAAAAGATCTACTTATTCAGGAAAAACTGCTTTTTTCAGACAATCTTGCTAGTGGAATTTTTAATTTCAAATCGATAAAATTTTTTGTAATTTTTAGTTTTTTGAAAAATAAGTTTATGAAAGCTTTATTCTCCGGTCTCTAAATTATTGGGAGGGGGGCCAAAAGCATCCTCTCCTTGCAAAAAGCAGCCGTGGCTCAGTGGTAGCGCACTTGTCTCAGAAACGTAAGATCCCTGGTTCAAACCCCACCTCTGGACAAGTTTTGCGACAACGGTTGGGAAGGAGGCGTGAACTTCATATTAAATGCTCTTCCGCGGTGCTCTGTGATAAAACCGTAAGGACTTCTTGGGGCACCTTAATCATTTAAAAAAAAAAAATAATAATAAAGTAGGGGTATAAATAAAGCAGGGGTTTGGAGCCAAATTAAGACCTGCATCAATGTTTTATTGGTTGTTCCGGTGATTAATTTTGGGCTTTGAAATAAAGGAGGTAGTTTATGGTTAAAAATGGATCATTTGCGGTAAAAATATTAGTTTGGAAAGATAATGCACATATTAAGGATGACTTTATAATTTTCTCAGGTGCGGTATTTAGCGGTTTTACAATAAAAATATAATTTAAATTAAAGTAAAAATACAAAAAGAATTTTTGTTTGTACTCAAAATGCTTCAAAAAAAAAAAAAAAAAAAAAAAAAAAAAAAAAAGTATAATTTTTGCATATTTTGTTTGATATTACATTTAAAAATGACGATACTGATAACAGAAGTAGGATTTTTAAAGCTACATCAATTGTGAATGCCATTTGTCAGTAGTTTTGAATAAAGTTGCAAATTGTGTTTACCTTTATGTCTTAAAAACATAAAACATTAGCTAAACACAATTTACAACATTATGTTTAAAACTTTAAAAAAACTCACGTGATTACAAAAAGTGATTTCTTGGTCAATGGGCATCTTTTTTGGGTAGTAATAGTAAAAAACCACTAAGCGGTTCGATGCTAGGTTATAAAAGTTTTAAAAAATGTGTAAGAAACTAAAAAAATGTTTTCAAATTTTATAAGGAGGATATCTTTAAAATTTTATAAAAGGATATATTTTTTTATCACAATATTTTACTGTATTTGTCTGAGGGGACAGAGCACAGTTATACAAGTTAAAGAATAAAACAGGGGGAGGGGCTGGATATCCCTAGGTACGCTACTATGTGCAATCAATAAATGGCTGCGTAAAAAAGTTATTACTTCTTACTTTTGATTCTGCAAATATATTTATATAATGCATGTGTTAGAAAATTATATAGTTGTATAATTTTATAATATATGTATTAATAGTGATCTGATTTCAGTTTATTACCATTGTTTTGCCGGTCTTTTTTTTTGTTTTGGTCTGAGTATATATTATATAATTTAGACAATTTACACGAATATTAATAAGGTTTGTTAAATTAGTAAATGACGAGCATTAGTGAACAGGTTTCAATCATTTTGAGTAATGATTTACTTGCTGCAGAACTAAAATTGGCTTTATTTACATCAGCACTTAACAGCTACAGACATGATTCTTGTTTACGTCCTTTTCCAAACATATTTGGCGATACATGTGATAAAAACATAGCTGTAAAGCAAATGGTGAGTTCTTTTTGTGAATAGTTATTAAAAATTTTTTTTAATGATGTGTAAAAGATTAATTACAAAGTACAGAAAAAAGTTTTATATTGTTTAATTTATAACAAGAACATCAACTAATTATTTTTGTTGTTGTCAACAACAATTAAAATTGATACGTGTGTTTGTTAAAAAGTTAAGTAAAAATTATATAAAAACCATAAGTTTGATTTGGATGAATAGGAAACTAATTAGATTTAATCATTTTTTTAATGATTAAATCTAATTAGTGCTGCTAGATTGTATGAGGGTTTTGGTTTGGACAGACAATCTATCAATTAAAAAAAAACACTTGTTTTTTTAATTGATAGATTTTTTTTCCATTTAAAAAATTAATTTGGAAGGCCAGAAAAATTTTTTAAACTCTTTCTTGTCTTTTTTACTTACTTCAAAAACACTCTTCAAGACTAGTAAACATCAAAAACAAATTTACTCATGCTCAATTCTTACTGGAACAAATAAACGCACTAAAAATTTATTTAAAATAAATATTTATTAAAATGTACTTTTCATGTTTAAATATAAACTAAGTCTGGTTCCAGAACATTTTATAGCACACTTTTTTTGAAAAATAATATAAATAAATACAATACAAGGCAACTTAAAGATACCGTTTGAAACAACAAGACTCTCAAAATTCTCAATTACATATTGTGGTCTTATTTATTTAACAAATTAATTTCCAGAAACAAATCACTAATAAACCTAAACAACAAAGACTCTGATAATAAAGCTGTAATCTAAAATAATCAAATTAAACAACTATAAGGAATTTTTTTAAATTCTAATTATAAAAAAAAAAAGTAACTTAACTTTTAATACAAGTTGATAAAAAAAATAAATATTAATAACAAGGTATATATGTAGCACATACACATATACCATGTATGTAACTGATTTTTTATGTGTATTACACGTCTAGAAAAAAATACTCGATGATAAGACTGACTTCAGCCTTGTGCGTGCTTCATCTAACTAAAAAAACAAGTAATTCTTTTTATCAATTTTACACAAATTTCGTTTTAATTATATTTATACACAAACATTGTTTTGAAATTTGGTAAATAAACATAGTGAAACATCTTAACACTCCTCGGAAAAATCATCAGGTTTTTTTTAAATTTTTTATTTTATTGGAAGAATATAGAGATATATTTCTCGGATTATTTTTTATGTTCATGTTATTATATTGTTGTGTTTAATATTTATTTTAATCATGTCTCAGAGTTGTACGCAACTATATTTTTATTTACTTCTTAAAAACTTTTTTGACTGTTTTTCGAGATTTTAAAATAAAAGCAATATTACGGTTATACAAAATATTTTAGTTTAAATATTTGAGCAGCCGTGGAGTAGTAGTTGAAGCGTTTGCTTCAGAATCAAAAGAGAATCAGTACGGAAAGACGCGGGTAGATGTCCTTCAGAATATAGAATATATATATATATATATATATATATATATATATATATATAATATATATATATATATATATATATATATATATATATATAAAATCAAAAAGCTGTGCCTTGCTGACAAATTTTCAAGCTGATTATAACAGTCTGCTATAATCAGTAAAATAAAAACAATAAAATAAAAGGAAAAAAAAAACTATTAAACTATAAAGAGCAAAAAGTATTTTACAAATTTGAATACAAATATGTTTTATCAACTGTGCAATGTTTAAAATCAAATTTGAACTTGAAAAAATTGAATTAAATAGTTTTCATTTTGAAATCCAGAGTTATTGTGGGATGACGCTTAGGGTTCAATTAAAAAACCATTACAAAATAGAGTAATATTTTTATGTAAAAATCAGCTTTAAAGAACTTTTTTTTAAATTTTTTATTTTATTGGAAGAATGTAGAGATATATTTCTCGGATTATTTTTTATGTTCATGTTATTATATTGTTGTGTTTAATATTTATTTTAATCTCAGAGTTGTATGCAACTATATTTTTATTTACTTCATATATATTTTGAACTTTATGTTTATGATATTTATATTTGTATATCTTTACCACCAATCTGTGATTGCTGTGGGCTAATGGCTGAGGGGTTTCTGTATACACTGATTTTCAGTGTAAAATTTTTTAGTGAAAAATTTTCTTTTTATCAGTGACTGAAGTAATTGTTTTCTAATTTTTAAGACCCATTTTCACTAATTTTTTTTGATAACAAGTAAAAATCAACAAACCCCCTCTTTTATTAGGGGTTTGAGAGTATTAGTGTAGAAGCTGTGATTTTTTTGTTTGTTTAATATGCCAAATAAAAGTTGCAAATTTACAAATGAACTTAAAAGATTACCCATTTGTGAAAAAAATTAGTGGTGAGGACAACAAAGGGTTTTGTCAGCATTGTTTAACTGAATTTTCTGTTGCACATGGTGGGCAATCAGATATTATAAGCCATATAAAGTGTGCCAAACACACAACTGGAGTTTCAGCTGCCGTATGTTCTTCATCTATTAAATAGTTTTTTAAAATTTTTGAGCAGCCGTGGCGCAGTGCAGTAAGTAGCACTTACTGGGGCACCTAAAAGAAAATTAAAAAACAAAAAAAAAAAAACAATCGATCCAATAAAGGCGATTTAGTTATAGCAGAAAAGGAGGCTACATTTGCCTTTCACACAGCAATGCATGATTTGACCTTCAAAATATCTGACTGTACTTCAAAACTAATCTCAAAGTTTTTTGAATCGAAGTTTGGTGCTGCAAAAACCAAATGTAAAGCAAAATTTTAAATTTTCTGGCACCTTTATCTGTAAAAGAGTTACATGATGACAGAAAACACATTTTGTAAGTGTTTCTAATGACACATCAAATAGAAAAGAAGTAAAACTATCACCAGTTATTGTTAGGTATTTTTTGCCGCTTAAAAATACACATTGTTTTGGAACTAAAAAAATTAAAATCTAATGTTAAGGAGAGAATGAATAGTAATTTTTTTCCACAAGGAGCAAAACATTTGCTGAGAAAAGTTAGTGCCCAGGATGTTAATACATTTATGATAGAGGTAAATTTTATATTGAACTGTGGGAAAACAGTTTTGGTGGGGCTGAGATATTTGAATGGATTGGACTTGATCAAGTACTGAAGTGGGAGGATATTAAACAATCTTCTGAAGCTATAAACAATATTCATGGTCCAGATGATCAACAAAAAAATAATATTGACAGTCTTTTTGATGAGATGTCAAGTTCAAAAATATTTTTTGCATCAAAAAAGGAAGAATGGGAAAAAAATTGTGGCCAAAAGTTTAGAATCCCTCATAAATTTTAGCGATTTTGATATTACTGACTCAACATAGTTAAAAGTACATCATGTTGTTAATTTATTGAACACTAGCAATTACTTATCAACTATTTTCAACATCTCAGCTATGATGTTGCTATGCTGTTTCTAGGCAGCATAGGCTGCCTAGAAACAGCATATGCAAGCACTAAAAAACTCTTATTCATCTAACAGCACTAAAAACTCTTATTCATCAAACAGAAAAAAGGACAAGACTTCATTGATTATAAGTAACACGAGAATGAATTTCAGTAGATGGTACAAGATATGCTAGGTCTTTCGAGCAGTGCCCATAATAGTATTTATAGAAAAGAGAAAGAGAAGCAAAATTACGACAATGTGATAATGGTTGGAGTTTGGCTGCAAGAGCAGATCCAATTATATTTACAATGCCATTTTGCACCTTGTCTAAAGAAGAAAAGGCATCACTCAAAGATCCGGCTCAGATATGGCAACAGTATTCCATGCAAGGATGGATTTAAGATTTATAGAAATAAAGAATAGAATCCTAAGTAAGAAAGTGGAAAGCACAATAAAGAAACCTTTGCAGATGTTAATTTTGCAATGGATTTGATATATGGTTTCCAAGAAAGATCGAAAGTAAGAGTTAATTCTAGAAGATGAAGGGTAGATTGAGTACATTACCGTTCATAAATATAGGAAGGTCTAGATTATTGGGATAACAATTAGCTGAAAAAAATTTATCAAGTTAAAGTTCACCAGCTACTAAGAGCCCCATGCTGCAACAGAAGTAAGATCCCTTTCAAGCTCAAATGCCCCCTCCTCAAACAATGCCAACTTAGATGCGAGAACTTCTGAAGATTGTTAATGTAAATTAAAAACAGTAGAGGGCCAAGAATAGAACCTTGAGGAACCTCTAACTGTACAAGATATGAAGAAGAATGCTGTCCATCGAGGACAACTTTTATACTACAATTGGCAAGGAAGGATTCAATAATCTTAAAGATGTTACCTGATACACTGTAATGACCAGCATGCCAAACTTTATCAAAGGCTTTGAAAATGTTGATAGTGATAGCCTTAGCCACTCCCCATCTATATAATGCATGATAAAACTTAACAGTTATTACTGTTAACAAATCAGCAGAAGAACAAGATGACTGAAAATCTAGAAATGTTATTAGATTCAAGATCAGAAAGATCAGAAAGTTATTAGATTCAAGATTCAAGATTAAGTGTTTGTTAATTAAAGACCAGAAAACCTTGCTTATGGTAGTAAAAAGACCAATGGGGCAGTAGTTAGACGAGTCAGAGCGCTTTCCAGAATTTTTTGAAATAAGGATAACAGATGCTGCTTTCCAGCTGCTTGGAAAACAAGACTCTGATAAGTACTTGTTAAATAGTTTTAAAAATAAAGACAACAGCTCCAAAGAACACTTCTGTAAGACTGCAGAAGTGTTCTTCGGAGATCTAACAAAATAAAAGGTATCTTGTCTGGACCACAGGTAAAATAACAGGTATCTTCTCTGGACCACAAGCTATAAAAGAGTCTAAGGAGGAAATCACTTTAGATACAGAAGCTGGAGTGAGGCGAAGGTCCAGGCAATGGATTAACCTGTTTGTTAGGTATATCATATATGATATGAAAGTAATGGTTACAATTGGAAATTGCAGCAGTGCAACAAGAAGAAAGCCATGGAGAAGAGTAA